CTGCTCTTTTCTTAATACTTAGAAATTATTTATTTATGCTATAAAAAGGATATAAATTAAATTATTGATAACTTTTTGTTGGTATATAATTAATCTGAGAGAAAGAATTTTGAATAAGTAGGAATCTACATGAACTATGTGAAGTGTGACTTTATTTCGAATGATATTCTCAAATCTTTAAAGACTATATACTTGGAATATTATTTTCAAACAATTACAGTCTATATTATTAATATCTATTCTATAACACTATAATATAATCTATACTTCTGTACTATACATAACGTATAGACATTATATATGTTTATATATATTATATAACTGGTCCCATCTATCTGGATTTATGCAAAGCTTTTCACACTATTCAACAACATCCTTGTCTCTATATTGGAGAAACATGTATTTGACAGATGCACTGCTCAGTGGATAAGGACCTGTCTGGATGGTTGCACTCAAAGTGTTGCAGTCAGTGGCTCAGTGTCCAAGTGGAGACTGGTGATCAGTGGTGTTCCTCAGGAGATGGTATTGAGACCGGTCTGTTTAGTGTCTTTGTCAATGCCATCAACAGTAGGATTCAGTGCACCCTGAGCAAGTTTGCTGATGGCACCAAGTTGTGTGGTATGTTCAACATGCTGGAGGGAAGGGATGCCATCCAGAGGGACCTTGATAGGCTTGAGAAGTGGGCTTCACGGAGTGAATCTCATGAAATTCAACAATGTCAAGTATAAGGTCGTGCACCTGGGTCAGGGCAACGACAAGGATAATGTCTTTAAACTGAAAATGGGTAGATTTAGGTAAGATCTTAGGAAGATATTCTTTACTGTGAGGGTGTTGAGACACTGGCGCCAGTTGCCCAGGGAAGCTGTGAATGCCCCATTCTTGAAAGGGCTGATGGCTGGCTTGTATGGGGCTGGTCTAGTGGAAGATGTCCCTGTCCATATCAGAAGTGTTGGACATAGATAACCTTTAAGGTCTATTTCTACCAAACCATTCTATGTTTCCATGTTTCTATGAATATCAGAAACAATTTTCAAAGTAAGAAAAGTGAAAAATCTGAAGACATTTGGCTAATTTGAATAACTATGATGTAAAGTAGATGTTTTCAGTGTGACATTTTCAAGTGAAAATATGTAAATACATCTTTTAAACAATATACTATTTTGAAGAATGGGAGCATGATATTTCTCATATTAATTTATAATCTACTTAATGTTCACTTTGCAAGTTTAAATGACTGTGCAAACAAAGATAGTGATGATAGTACTGTGAGATACTCTGCCTTTGTTGCACTCCTGTACTTGCTGATTACAGTAGAGGTCACCTAGTGTACAGAAAACAAAAGAAGTATTATTCTTGGTTGTGGAGCTTCATAAATACTAAGTTTAAAATCTTGTTAAATTCAGAACTTGAGAAAATTCTTATCATACAAATGTTAGATTGTTATTGAGCTCTTTATTAAAACCCATTCTTCTTTTCGAAGAAACTGCAAGGTCAGAATATGAAACTGAAGGGCAGTCTTCCATCATCGTCTTCATCAGTTTATTGTAGGAAGCTTATTACAGGAAGGTTTAAGAGGCATTAAGGTGAGTTACATGCCTAGCTCCTCTTATTAAGGGCCTAAATCTGCATCTAAATGTATAGGCTTGATAGGTTACATTAGTTCCTAATTACACAATAGTTTCTGTTTGAGTCATTGAAAGTTGCTTCTGTACATCTGTCATGGTTTAAGCCCAGCCAGGAGCCCAGAAACCACGCAGCCGCTCACTCACTCTCCCTCCTTTCCCCCAGCTCCCAGAGGGATGGGGTGGAGAATCAAAAGAATGTAACTCCCATGGGCTGAGATAGGAACAGCGCAGTAACTAAGGTATAACACAAACCATTGCTGCTGCCATCAATAATAATAATGATAAGGGAAATAACAAGGGAAAAGAATACAACTGCCCACACCCCTCCGACAGATACCCAACCTGACCCAAGCAGTGATCTAGCTCTTCTGAGCAACTGCTCCCAGTTTATATACTGGGCATGATGTGCAATGGTATGGAATACCTCTTTGGCTACTTTGGGTCAGGTGTCCTGTCTCTGCTTCCTCCCGGCTTCCCCTCCTCCCTGGCAGATCATGAGACTCAGAAAGTCCTTGGTCAGACTAAACATTACTTAGCAGCAGCTAAAAACATCAGTGCTGTCAGCGTTGCTCCTAGGCTGAGAATCAAAACCGCAGCACTGCACCAGCTACTAAGAAGGAGAAAAATGACCGCTGCTGCTGAACCCAGGATGGTATCTACCCCTTATTCCATACCATTCACGTCATGCTAAGATCCCACATTTTTCAATATAGCATCTCACATATATATATGTACATCCACACATACACAAAGGGAGATTATTTCTTGGCGCATGGACCAATCCCTATAAAGCTGCTGAGTTCTTCCAGTCCATAATGTTGGGTTCCATCTCTTGTAACAGTCTTTCAGAGCAGAAGAGGCTGTGTGCAGTGTTGGATCGTTGCCTGCTGATGATACCACAGAACTTGTCTGGTTTCATCAAAGTTCATTCTTTTTTGGGATAATGGTTGGAGGGAAGTCAGGGCCAGTCCCTGGTGACCTGAAGACATCTAGTTGTTGGGCTATAAAATATTACACAGCAGGCAACAGCATACAGTTGAGTTCATTGGCTGTTTTCCCCTAAAATCAAATCAGCCTGAGGTATACATTGGACTTCCCCATTTTCCCACATTACTCACCAAGTATATCCGGGTCCCTGAGCAACAGCAATCCCACTAGTGGGTTTGCCTTTACCTGAAGCAGGAATAACCCAGACTGTCTTCCCCAGCAAATTCTCTATGTGCACCACAGGAACTTTATCCCCTCCTACAGTACGTAAAAGTTCTGGCTGGGCTGAGCCAGCCCTGTTGGCAGATCCTCTGGTGTTGACCAACCAAGTGGTAAATGTGTGTATCTCAATGTTTGAAAGTCCCACTACCCATTGCTCTCACTGTAGTTTTTAAAAACCCATTTTAGCATTCAATTTTCCCAGAGGCTGGTGCATGGTAAGGGATGAGATATATCCACTCAATGCCATGCTCTTTGGCCCAAACACCTATAAGGTTGTTCCAGAAACGAGTCCCATTGTCTGACTCAGTTCTCTCTGGTGTTTCTCAAGGCCCAGGTTAGTGTTCTGGCCAGTGGCGTGGGGCACAGCATAAGTTTCCAGCCATCCGGTGGTTGCTTCCACTATGGTAAGCACATGGAGCTTGCCTTGGCGGGTTGGTATAATCAGGGTGCCAGGCCTCCCCACATGTATACTTTATCCATACCAAAGAGGCTTTAACCACTTGGCTTGCTTAATTGCAGCACGTTTCACATCCGTGAATAACCTGGGCAATAATGTCCATTGTTAAGTCCACCCCTCGATCAAGGCACATGTATACGTTGCATCTCTGCCCTGATAGCCTGAAGTGTCATGGGCCCACCAGACCAAAAGTATGTTGCAAATCTAAGTCCATCTGAGTCACTTCAATCTTAGCAGCTTTATCCACTTGTTGGTTGTTCTAGTGTTCCGCAGTGGCCTGATTCTTGGGTACATGTGTATTTACATGGAGTACCTTCACCACCAGATTCTGCAACCACCCCCACAGGGCATTTGCCACCATCCATGAGTCAGTATAGAGACAAAGTCCTGGCCACTTTTCTCATTCAGCAATGCCTAAGGCCAGCTGGATGGCTTTCACCTTGGCAAACTGACTCGATTCACCCCCTCCTTTAGCAGCTTCTGCAACTTGTCATCGGGGACTCCATACAGCTGCCTCCTATCTCCGATGCTTTCCCACAATACAGCAGGACCCATCAGTAAACAAGGCATACTGCTTTTCAGTTTCTGACAGTTTATGATATGGTGGGGCCTCTTCAGCACGCACCACCTCCTCCTCTGATGACATTCTGAAATCTTTGCTCTCTGGCCAGTCAATGATGTTTTCTAGAATTCCTGGATGATTGGGATTTCCTATTTGAACTCATTGTATAATCAGTGCAGCCCAATTACTCCATGTAGCATTGGTTGCATGAGGTGTAGAGGAGACCCTGCCTTTGAACATCCAGCCCAGCACAGGAATCTGAGGTGCCAGGAGGAGCTGTGCCTCAGTGCCAATCACTTCTGAAGCAGCTCAAACCCCTTCATAGGCTGCCAGTATCTCTTTCTCAGCTGGGGTACAGCTTGCCTCAGATCCTCTGTATCCTCGAGTCCAGAAGCCAGGGGGACAACCTCAAGTCTCCCCTGGAGCTTTCTGCCTGAGACTCCAAGTAGGACTGTTCTCCCCGGCTGTGGTGTACAATACATTTTTTACATCTGGCCCTATCCAGAGTGGTCCAAGGGCCACTGCACGAACTGTCTCTCGTTTAATTTGCTCAAAGGCTTGTTGTTGCTGAGGGCCCCATTTAAAATCATTCTTCTTCCGGGTCACATGATAGAGAGGGCTTACCATCAAACTGTAATTTGGGATGTGCAGTCTCCAGAACCCCACAGCACCAAAGAAAGCTTGTGTTTCTTTCTTATTAGTTGGCGGAGACATTGCTGTTATCTTGTTGATCACATCTGTGGGGATCTGGCGACATCCATCTTGCCATTTTATTCCCAAAATTTGAATCTCCTGTGCAGGTCCCTTGATCTTACTCCATTTTATGGCAAAACCGGCTTTCAGCAGTATTTGGATTATTTTCCTCCCTTTCTCAAAGACTTCATCACCTGACATGGTAATGTCATCAATGTATTGCAGGTGTTCTGGAGCTTGCCCCTGTTCCAGTACAGTCTGGATCAGTCCACGGCAGATTGTAGGGCTGTGTTTCCATGCTTGGATTCCTCTCCAAAGCCCTTTGGAGGTGGCTGAGGGGGGCTATTTAGAGCCTTCTACTCTGTGGGACTGACGTGCCAGGCCATCTGATCCACACAGTCTAGTAAATCCGATTGTCCCCTACCTCCACCTGGCTGGAGTCACTAATAGTCACTTAATAGTCACTTAAGTCTTCTTGACAGGGATTAGTCTTTATCACAGGAGCTGGAATAAAATCAGCTCTTCCACTCCATCCGGGAACCTGCTCACCAGAGACTGAAGCCACAGCCTTCATGGGATGATCATCCCTGACCTTTGGTCTTCTCTTCAATTCATGCACCCGTTCCTCCAAATCTGATGTAGGTTTTCCATCCCACTTCTTCATGTCTTCTCTGTGATCTTGCAGGTAAAACCATAGGGTGGCCCATGGTGTATACCTCCTATATCTTCTCTTTCGAGCAGTAGGATACCTTTTAATAGTTGAGACATGGGTTGGTACATGTGGGGAGCTGGATAAATTGGATAAATCATCTCTCAATTGTTTTAACTCCTGAGACAGTTTTTCCACAGTTGAAATGATGGAAGGGGTGAGATGGTCTTCAAACTCTTGGAGTTGATGAATCATTTCGTCCACTGTTGGTGGTGCTACGTCATGCCAGGTTATTGGTGCCAATGAATGGGCATATGATGATGGTGCATTCTGTGTAAATTTCTGCCACATGGGTCGTGTACATTCAACTTCATCTGGACCTATGGGTGCAATCCCAGCATTTGGCCTGTGGTAGATCATCTTTACAATGGCAGATTTACTCAGAGACTGGATGCCTTTCTCTAGAGTAGTCCAATTGGCTGAACGGCTCATAACATTGTCCTTGCATGGAAACCTTTCTTTCACAGCTGCCTAGGGCTGCCTCCAAAGGCTGAGGGTCTGTTTCTCTTTTGCAATTGCCCTGTCAATTCCCCCTTCCCTAGCAAGTGATCTAAGCTGCTTGGCTTCCCTACCTTCTAGTTCATGACCATCAGCCCTATTGTCCCAGCATCAGAGCAACCAGGTGATGATTTGCTCCCCTGGTTGATGGGTAAAATCTTTTTGTATATTCTATAGCTCAGTTGAGGTCCAGGGTTAAGAAGCCACCTCTTCTTCCTCTTCTTCCTCTGATTCAAGTACTAATAACTCCTGATCAGATGCTGTCCCGTGTAGTAACTTCATTGTTTCTTCATCTTGCTTCATCTTGTTTCTATTTTGCTTTTCCCCTTGCGTACAGGGGCAACTGATATTGCACAAATTGGTTCTCTGGTTTAGCTGTAGTGATTATCACTGTGGTTGGAGTGGCTGCAGTATCTGTTGTTGGGGTTTGGGTAGCTGCTGTACTTGTTGCTGGGGTTGGTGTAGCTACTGTGCTTGGAGCTGGAGTAGCTCCGCCATCTATGCCGGTCAGAGTTTGAGTAGCTGCTGTAGTTGTCTCTGGGGTTGTTATAGTTGCTCCACTTGGAGTTGGAGTAGCTGCGTTGTCTGTTGCTTTGCCATCAGATCCAGAGACTTTTTTTTTCCCTTTGAAGGTGCTGGATAGTGTTGAACAAGGCTCTATAAGCACAGGCCAAGCCCCAGCACGTTGCCATGATTTGTCCCTCTCTGGTATGACTAGGATGACAACACACCTCATCTAAGTGTTTTACTAGTTTTTCTGGATTTTGCACTTGTTCAGTGGTGAAGTTCCAAAGCCCCGGAGGGGCCCACTGGCCTAGAAACTTCCCATACTATCCCGCACAACCTGCCACCTATGACTGTCCAGCCTCGGGGAAAATCTCTTGGTCCTCCTATATCATCGTCTAACCCAGACAAGGCCCAAACCCGACTGTGCTTAATTTTCGAGACCAGACGAAGTGCTCATGGGTAAAACACACTCTGCATGTGTGCCAACATGGTGATCTCCATCACAATCAGCAGGCAGGTCTCGAGGTTACCCAGAGGCCATTCAAAACCTTCAGAATTCTCAAATGATGCTGTAAATAGTCGGGGGGGGGGTGGGGGGTGTTCTATTATATACCTCTCAAAGTATAGAGGTGGTGACCACACTGGGAATGCAAGCCAGATCAGTTTCCTGATCAATGAGTCTATTGTATTACAAGTCATTACCATAAAGTACAATGAAACAGGAACCTTAGCCCATGGCCCCCAGTCGATGAACACCAACTGTCCTGGGTTTAGCAATAGCAGTCATTTTTTCTCTTTCTTGGTAGCTGGTGCAGTGCTGTGTTTTGACTTTCGGCCTGGGAGCAGAACTGATAAAAATGATGTTTTAGTTTGGCCAGGGACTTTGTGAGCCTCATGCTCTGCCAGGGAGGAGGGGGAGATGGGAGGAAACAGAGACAGGACACCTGACCCAAACTGACCAAAGAGTTATTCTATACCACAGCGCGTCATGCCTGGGGAGGTAACTGGGAGTTACCCGGAAGGGCTGGGGGACTGCAGGGTTGGAGGAGGTATCGGTCGGTGCTTGGTTGGGCTGGGGGGGTGTGTTATCGGTCACCTGGTGATAAGGTGGTGTATCCTCTTCCCTTGTTATTTCCTTTATAGTTATTTGTATTGGTGGTAGCAGTAGTGATTTCTGTTACACCTTAGTTACTAAACTGTTCTTATCTCAACCCGTGGGAGTTGCATTGTTTCTGATTCTCCTCTCCGTCCCTCCAGGAATAGGGGGAGAGCAAGAATGGGGGGGAGTGAGTGAACAAGCTGTCTGGCTGGGGTTAAACCACGACACTAACACAGCAAATACCAACTGTAAGTAAGGTATGACGTGCTGAAACTCTGAGATCAAGAGCAACAACTTTGAGAGCCAATAAATCAGCATTGTGATGAGTGACTATTAATCCAAAACAATAAATGCTTATCACAAATATGATTAGACACACTCCGGTAAGATTTGCTGTTATCGCAACCCTTCGTGCCCCACGTTGGGCGCAAAAGTTATAATAAACCAGTCTGTCATCAATGTGCAGCTCTCTCTCAGACAGGTATTAGTGCTACCTTGGCCTAGGGCAGGGAATGCATGTGCACTGAAAAATGAGAGAGGTCTTTGCTGGAGAGTTAAATGCTTTGTACAGAAACATGGAAGAGAGATAAGGGAGAGAGAAACAGGTGAAATAATGTTGCCAGGAGTCTAAGGTTCATAGGACACAGATTAGCCCTGTCACAGTGACAGAGAAATAAGGGTCCCAAAACCACATCTTTCCGTATCAAGCTTTCCATCATCACCACCCAAGGTCAGAGAGGCCTTGGGCTCACCCTGAGACCCTGAGCATGGTCCAGCTCAGCAGAACCATGCACTGTGAGTAGCAAGCAAGATAACTAATGCTGCAGTCAGTTTTCAGAGCTGGGGGCAAAGGAAAGAAGGCAACTTTGACAGCAGATGCCTTCTGTGACCTGCAATGAACTAGCATGTGCTGTGCTGTCTTTTGTCAGGTGGGAAACCCAGAGTTCTGTCTCTACAGCACACACACCTCCCTGCCCACCTGTGACCTGTTGGGAATCCCATTACCCAGTCAGGGAGCATGTATTGGCAACAATTTGGGAAGCTGGATTTAATTCATTCTACATTTACAGGAAAGTATTGTTTTGTAGCCTTGCTGTACACATATGACTGCACCACAAGGAGTAGTAAGGACTAAGGACTGAAAAAAAGGACTAATTTCACCTAAAATCAAGAGTTAAACAGACAGTAAGCTGACAATTCATACAGTAATGATAGTCACTCTACATGACATAGGAAACAGAAATAAGTGTTTGCTCTAAAGTCTTGTCCATAACATCACATTTCAAGGACAGTCTCATAGAAGAGTCTTTGTAGCAGTATGTCATCCCACCTCTGTAGCCAGTGTAAGCTAATCTCACCTTGTTAAATGTTTGAGCTCCGATTCAGTACAGGAAAGAGAAGCAGTTCAAAATGCAGCTCATTATCAAACCTCCAGTTACCCTAATCTCTTAATACTTAGTGGTTTCAAGGCTTGCAAAATGTGCTGCTCTCATTTCCTATTTTATGAATGTGGGACTCACTTCCTACCTTTTCCCACGCTTCATCCTCCTGTCTCTGCATACATTTAACCTTAGGACTGCTTCTTCTCTTCTTCCTGAATATTTCTGCTTCTGCTTTGCTAATGAAGTGAATCAATTCCTCTTTTTCTTGTTATGTATTATGCTGTTCTTTTTTCTAACCTCCAGGTTGAAACCTGGGCCATACTGGTCACGTTATGTTCTATAGCTGATGTCAATGATCATCTACAGTGCCCAAGGCTTGTCAGCCTCTATAGCAAGTATGTTGCCTTTCTTGTATCTGCCCATACAACCAAATATTCTCTCTCATCTCTGGTCTCATCTATGCATCTGGACTTCTCATTTTAGCTAATAGCATATGTTGTCTTCATGCACTCAGACAAAGGTTTCTTTGAATACTACATTAATTTTCTTCCAGCTTTCATTAGCATTTCCTTAATCTTTATCCTCTGCCATCACCTTTGTGGCCTCTTGGTGGGTGTCATCACTCCATCCTAGTACTGATCCCTTACTTCAGAAACCAGCCAGAGTCAGGTGCTTTAATGTCAATTCTTAGCTGGTCTCAGTCAGCACCAGCTCCTGGAATTACACCAGTTCCAGGGGCTATGCTATTTTTGGAGCACCTGAAATTAAAAAGGGGGATACAGACGAACTTTATTTGTATCTAAAATCTAGCTCTTACGAGATTCACGAGCTCATTCACAAATCCAGTAAATCCCACGTCAGATCTTGAATCCCCTTGAGAAGGAAATTGGGTCTCCTCCTCCTCATGAATTCAGTAGCAATTGTACAAGGATCTGATTTATGACTTTCATGCTTATATGCCAGAAATAATTGATACATTCACTAGTAGACACATATGGAAATTAACTTATTTCATGTATCTGGCACTAGTGTGTTTGTGGGTGGCTGTTTACAAATACTGCAGTGTATTTGTCTAAAAAACAACAAACAAATGAAAAACCCAAAACAAAAAAAAAAAAAAAACCTTCCAGGTTTAGCTAAATCAGAAGAGATCGGAAAGTAAGGGTTTTTTTTTGTTCCTACTAAACACATTTGTCTGCTTGTCCGTATACAGGCATGCAGAAATTTCCAGTCATTCAAGTCTCCAGGGTGTTTGAAAATGTCTGAAGTCTCTCTAAAGAGCAGATTAGCGTTATCCTAAAAGTTAGACTGTAATACTATTTAACTGCTCTATTTTTCCATTATGGGCCTGTCAGCAGGAATATGTTGCCCTATAGTACATGACAAGTGAAAACGCTAGTAACATTGTTTTTCATAGACAGAAAAAATACCAAAGAAGCAATTTCCTAGCTAAAATGTCACCTGTTAGATGCATGGGGCTCACTGTATTTTGTTGCCCTGGTAACAAATGGTGTAAAATGACTCCTTTGCACAGCTCCATCAGAATGATTGCATCCTGTTTTTTCCATCATTTTACAAGAGGCTGTTTTCATTCTCCCTTCCTGACCATATTAAGTGTAAAGAGATTGAATTACTGTGCTGTACCCTCTCCATCCGATGTGGATTTAAGAGTTGATATTGATGTACTGAGAACTACGTTCTTCTTCAAGAAAAAAAGCTACAAATTATAATGAATTTGACTTTTATGTATCGACCGCTCAACTAGTGAAGTAGTGTTTCTACACCCAGGGGATAGACATGGCATGATCAGCATTTTTCACTTGAACGAATCCAATTGATAAAGCAATATATTCAGTGTCACTTTGTTTGATCTCCAGGTTTAACAATAGTCATGCTAAAAGTAGATACATTACACCATAAATTTTACTCATAAAAAATGTGCTAGCCATTGCTTTATACAGCTGCACTCTTTCCAACTTTTCACTGAGCAGGGCAGAAAAGGATGAGCAGAAATATTGTGTTAAGAGCATGTAAGTGTGGGCAAGTGGCTGACAAGTATTGGAAATACTTATGTATTTACAGGTAGAAAACTAAACACAGCACCGTTATGTGGGTGGTGTTCAGCTCATCTCTTAGATGTGAACCTTGAGACCAAATACCGCCATTTTCACACTGACACTGCATTTCTAGGCAGCTGCAGAACCAAGTGAAGTGTCATCATGTAAGTATTAAGGGTACGCAGGAATGTTTTGAACATTACTCAGCATTACGGTAACCTTAGGACAGTACCTCATTTTCCTGGTTATATGAACAATTACTGCACTCATTGCTAAGATACAAATGCAATACTACCACACACTTACTGCTTGAAGAGAATGATATGTCATTCATCCAACTTACAGAGGATTAAAGGCACAAAGAACGTTACTAGCAATGCAAATTTTTATAATAAACCACAAGATATGGAATATCATAATTAAAATTTTAATTACTAAAATTTGTGTGTTACAGACTTTTTCTGTAAGATAAGCAATATCTTAAAAAAAAAAACCTGTTTAACCCTGTGTATATAATGGAATTCTTTATACAGAATGTCTTCTATATAGGTAATATTTCATTTAGGATTACAATCCAGAAAAAGATAAATGGGAAGAAGGTGAATGGTTAGTGAATGGTTTCTCTAGCTCCTGCCTTGCTTGCTGTTGCTGCTTGCAATGGCCTTTCCTGGTCATACAGCAGCTGCAACATGACTGGTCTGAAATCACCTGTGGAAAGGTGATGTGGATAGTTGTGTTGTGTTACTACCTTTAAGGGTTCCTTAAATGACATG